AACATGACGGCGGTGGCGGAGCGCCTGGACATCCCGGCGGCCATCGATTACTTCCTCGGAACTGAGATAACTAAGAATCCAGATGGCTACAGGTGGCGAAACTGCCTCCTTGTGTATAATGAAATGCTGTTTATTTGGGGCCAGGAGCGGGAGGGGCCATGCATGCGCCGCCAGGGGGGGGGGGAGGGGGCAGGCGAGCTGTTCGAGGCTGACAGCAGCTAGAAAACCCTCGTACTGCTGTCCTGATCTTACACATTCTTCCTGCGCTTGCCGACCGCAAGGGGCAGCATCAAGCTGCACAAGGACCGTGACGGCCCTCTGGTCATGGGGCCCCTTTGGGTATGAGCTCGAGAGCTGCTCCGGGGTTCCTGCGCGTCAAGCCCAACGCAGCAGCGCGCGGCAGCAACTCGCAAAGGCAAACATCGATCACAGCCCCTACCTTGGGCCAATACAAACGTGTGATTAGCGAGGCACAGAATTGCATTGCGAGATGTGGTCTGTGCTTAGCAGCAACATACAGACACTCTGCTGCTGCCCCACCCTCACTCCCAGGATTATGATGAGGCGTTTGGCGCCTGCTGCGGCTACCCAATTGGTACGCGGGATTGGTCACGCCCGCCCGCAGCTTGCACCAGGTGCAGGCACTTGGAGTGGGCGCAGCCTGCCCTAAGTTGCTAGCGCAAGCAAGCTTGCTGAGCCGGCATGACAAACCAGCAAGCTGTGGTGTGTGCACTTGCAACCCCGTCGCTCAAGATGGGGGCTGCCGGCATGCCTTATTGGGTGTGCGCACGCTTGCACATGCTAAATCGCCCACACAGAGCCCAACACGAATGGGACCAGCGGGGGCACCTCCATCAGCCCCGAGGGCTGGCGCTTCAATATCTGTAACGACCCCGGCAGGCGCGTACACTTTCCCATGTGCACACTGCGCTGCTCTGCCCTGCCTTGCTGCATGGGCAAGGCGCACACCAGCCGCCCCACTCCAATGATTGGCAGAACACAAGGGCGGAGGTGGCAAGGCCTTCATGAAGCCGTATACATCTTGTAGCTACTCTGCCGTCTGCCCTCTTCCGCACCCTGCACCGGTGTTTGTACCAACACCCGGCCACCTTGCACCAACACTCCACCACCCCCACAGGTGCAAGGTGGAGCCCCTGGACGGCATCTCACAGTGGTACCGCCGCCTCTGGATGGAGCCCTTACACCGTGCCGCGGCCGCGCAGCGCTGGGCCGAGCTCAGGCGCGAGCGCCTGCCCGACGAGTGGTTTGTCAACGAGATAACTCAGGTGCAATCTTTGCGTGTGTGCGGGTGGAGGGGTGAGGGAGCCCGTTGCATACGGTGCTTATGTTGCTGGTTGCCAGGCACCGCGGTGGTTTTTGACAGACCCCTGCTGTGCGTGGACTTCAGGCTTGCACACAAGGTCAGGCAAGGTGCGTCATGCTGCTTGCTTGAGTGGTGCCTCGCCCGATGTCCGGTGTGTTGATTCCCAACGCAAGTTAACGGCACTTTGGACCTTACGCACCCTGCCCACTGCGTACATGTGTGCCGCATGGTCAAACCAGGTCAAAGCGCACATCGCCGCCGCCAGCGACCGCAACTTTGCGCGGTGGAAGGCAGCGCTGGCAGATCCGCTGTACCCGACGTGGCGTGCCCAGTGGGACGCCACGATAGCGCAGCTGCAGGCAAGTGCCTGCGATTGCTGGCCCTGGCTGTGTCAACAACCCGCCTTGCTGTTGTCGCAAGCCCATGCTGATGCACTACACATTAGCACACCCGCTGTGCTGCTGCAGTTTGCTGCAGTTGATTACCAGTCATGCGCCATCGGCGCGTTGTGGAATTATAGATATCACACATCGCGACGCAACTGATTGTGTCCTGCCCTTCCAATTGTCAACTGCAGGCATGGCTGCTGCAGCATCTCGCCTGGATGGACCAGGCCTTTGCGAAGGAGGCTGTCCCTGGGGCTGGGCCAGAGGCATACCTGCTTCCGATGCCCGCTGCACAGGCCAGTAATGCCAACGTCTCTGCGCCGCTGCCGGCCGTGGCGGCTGCTGACGCTGCCCCTGCGCCCCCCGCACCTGCTCCCGGCGCCAACGGCTCGGCGCCGTTGGCAGCGTCTGCGCCTGCGGCCGTGCCGGCCGGGCCCACCACGCCGACTGCGTCAACCGCACCTCCTGGCCCTGAGGCGGTCAGCCTGCCGGTGCCGGCGCCGCCGGCCAGTGGGTGAAGGGCTGCACTACTGTGCTGGTTCAGGGCCCGTGGATGGTGCGGCATGCGCCGCGATGCTGGACGCTGCTGACGTGTATCGGCTACGATTCGATTTCTTGGATGCTTTCATATCTATTCGCGCCGTCCTGTACCGTGTAGGATCCTTGTCACCCGGGGTCACCTCTGTCGTGGCGGGAGTTCCCTGCTGCGACATGCAGCCCCAGGAAGGCTTTCATCACATGTGTTGATGCTTAATGTATCAGCTTGTAAGTCTTATATGCAACTGGTAGCTGCCAGTCTCGCGTAACCTGCAGCACACCGGCGGAGTGTTTCTTCGCGCTTCGCAAAGGCAGCCACAACGCAGCGGGCGGTGGGGGTGGACAATCCGAAATGGCTTGGAACCGGCTAGGTATGGGTCTATGGGGCAGGGGCCGCGTGCGGGCCAGCGGCGGCGCGCATGCTTGGAGATGCGAGCACACTCGTCACCAGCGCACTGGGTGCTGTAGCAGCAGTCTTTCAGGACATCTCTCAATTGTCTCAGAGTAGCTTCACGCCTGAAATCGATGCCAATGATGTTCAGCCGGACGGCGGCCACGCCCATCGGGCCCGCGCGCACGCCTGTTTGACACCCACTCCTCCCTTGCCACCTCACAACGGACTGAATGAGCAGCCGGCGCTTCGCTGGGGCTGGCGCTGGGACTGGCGCTCCTGGCCTCCGGGGCCGCGGCCTCAAACCTGGCCCGCCAGGCCGGCGCCGCGCCTGCGCTCCGGCCAGAGGGCCTGGCCTTCAACACAGCAGTGGTGGTGTCCATCGGCAAGGCGCCCGGGTGGGCCGTCGGCGGCCGCCCCGGGGGCGTCGCGCTGCAGCCCGCGGGCTGCGCGGGCGCCGCTTGCAACGGCTACACGCAATCCTCCGCGGGCGACAAGACCAACGAGATGTACGTGTTTGGCCAGAAGCCCACCAGCCCCTTCGCCGCAGTCGGCCCCAGGCGGGGCGCCCCTGATGCCCAGGGCGCGGGCCAGCCGGCGCCCTTCCTGGCTGTCCAGCTCCGCAACCGCGGCGCGACGCTGCCCGCCGACGCGGCGGCGCCGATCGTCAACCTGACCGTCAGCTTCACGCCCCTCAGTATCAACGGGGACGCGCCGCCCAGCACCGAGGCGTTCAGCCTCACGCTCGGCGTCATGTGGACGCCCGGCGAGGGCGCCAAGCCAAACGCGGCGGCGCTGTTTGCCCTGGTGCCGCCGCTGCCGTCGGCTAAGTTCACCGCGTACGGCGTGGCGCACCAATTCCAGGTCTGATGCAGCCGCCAGTCAGTCTGTCAGACCGCAACCGCTAGCACGGGCCGGCCCTCCAAGGCACCCGTTGCAGGGGGCTGGCGGGCTGGGCTGTTGCGCGGGCGCCAGGGGGCCCAAGGCGTCAGCCCCAGCAATAACTACATGCTTCACCCTGTATATGCCGGTTATCGTTTGTTGCTGTAACCTTGACACGCCCTCCTGCCCATCGGGCCCCAACAGGTGACCGGCATCGGGCTGCCAGAGCTGGCGGCAGCCACGGGCGTGGAGGGCAAGAAGCTGCCATGGAACAAGGACGCAGTCGCGACGAGCGGCTACGGCGCGGCGCTGCTGCCGGAGGAGAAGTGCAAGTGGTTCCTGGAGCTGTGGGGCGAGCTGCGCGTCCTGTGATGCACGCAAACACAGATGCAGCACAGGCGTCGCTGCATTAATTGGCATTATCCGACTCGGTGCAGGAGCGAGTTACTTTTCCGCGGGACGCACGCTTCGGGCGCTGGCGCAATGGCATTAGCTGGCGGCGTCGCCGACGCGGCTTGGTGGTGATGTCCGGGCGGGTGCCGCGCGTGCGGCAGCGCCGGCTGGGTAGCAGCAGCAGCAGGTTGGGGGGGGGGGCGCATCTCGGGGCTTCACAGACAAAGGATTGGAGGGCCCGCATGCCGGTGACAGCGCGACCCCACGTGCGGCTGCTTTGTGTGCCATGGGGCCGCGCGCGGGACGCTGTCACCGGCAACGAGGCGAGCCTTCCATCCACAGCGATTGCTTTGTTGATATTTCTTCAGTCACAGGACGAAAGTGTGTTGACCTGGCCCGACCATAAACTTGGCTGCATCAGTGGCTCCCAATTGTTTGGTGAGCTGGATGTGGCGGGTTTCCCGAGCACTTTTGCACTCGCAGTGCAGAGCCGCAGCCGGCTCAGCTCCTGACACCAGCCCCATGGCGGGTACCATGTAAATGCTGGGGCAGGTTGACAGACATTAGTGTCCTGAGATATCTCTTGATCGTTACATGCCCAACAAATTCAACAGCATCGCGGCAACCAAACTGGAGGGGGCAGTTACATGAGCGTTTGCCTGTGTTTTACGGGCAAGGACAGCACGCTTCGCACACAACCGCTGCACAACATGCCGATTGAAACAAGAACGAGGCCTGTGGCTAGGGGATGGTGGGGTCAAGCCTCAATGTACACGGAGATTGTGGTTGTCAAAGGTCAAGCAAACCTGCACAGCACACAGCGCCGACCCCACGGCGTGCGTGCGGTGCAGCGGCAGTTGAGTGGGCGCTCCTCACAGGAGCTCACAGCGGACGTCAAGCAAGACAAGGGCCGGCCATCAAGCTCGAGGTCTGGCGCAGGCTGGCATAATCCAAACACGCCTGCTCAAATCTGGCAAAACATGCTGGCATATCCGCGGCGGTCGCGCCGCAGACGGCGGCTGTGCAAAACGTCGCAGTGTGCAGTGGGGCAAACGCTTGCATCCGCCAGGCCGGGCGGCTTGGCCCCCTAGAAGACAGACCCTGACTTCTTTTTTTTGCCCAGCAGGATGTCCTTTGCCTCGTTCACCTTTGCTGCAATGAAGCTGCTGCCGCCTGCAGGGGTAAGGTGAGGGATCAGGCCGGGGTGAGGGGACACAGGTAAACTTGCGCGCAGCAGCCACTTGCAGAATGGCTCGTGAGTCACATGTGACAGTGCTGCGGCTGCTTTTTCTTCTACCGCGCTGCTGCTGCTGCTGCTGCTACTGTTGCTACTGCTGCCACTGTTGCTGCTGTTGCTGCTGCTGCTGCTGCTGCTGCTGCTGCTGCTGCTGCTGCTGCTGGCTGCTGCCCTCGCTCCGCGCCCTGCCCCCTTTGCCATCACATCCCCATCCCACCGCACCAGAGTCCGGGTGGTTGGCGATCATGATGCGGCGGTGGGCGTCCTTGACCTTCTCCTCCCCCGCGCTCTCCCGCAGCCCAAGGATCAGCGACGCTTCCCGCCGGTCCATGGTAGGGGCAAAGCCGCCCTGGGGATGGGATTGAGGGGGTGGGAGGGGGTGGCAGAGCCGAAGAGTGGCGCCTATGGGCCGAGGCGGACAGGCAAAAACGTGGCACCTGCTCGCATGTCTGGGCAGAACGCATTGGTGTGCCACTGTGGGACACAGCTGCCTCACTGGAAATTTGCTGAGCTGAGCAGACTGGTCTGAGGCGGACCATCGGGGGCCTGCTGCTGGCGCCACGGTGCGGACCTTATAGAAGGCGCGGATGCTGGGGGGGCGTGCCCTCAGCTTCACATACTGCTGCACCGCCTGCTTGCCCACAAACGCAGCGGCGGCCACGCCGAGGCCCAAGACGAGGGGTGTGCTCTGTGCGCAAGGGGCGAGCGGGTTTGGTGACGTGGCCAGCAGCGGCAGCAGCAGCAGCAGCAGCAGCAGCAGCAGCAGCCATCGGCGCAGAGCCACCCAGGTGCTTCGTGCTCCAGCGCGTAACAAGGCTCAAGTTCACTCCGGTCGGAACAATTGCAGCAATTTTGGAGTAAGTGACCGGAGCCGCCTGCGAAAAGGCGATCGCACCATGTGAGCTGGCGACTAGAAGGGCAACGAGTATTCCAGCATATTAGGACAATGATCCTGCAATCTCCAGACTACTCAAAGCGCCCCCTTGTCAAAGCCTGGAGGTGACCTGGTGACCCAGATCAAGAGTACGTCTTCAGGGAGTAGTCCAGCATTCGAGTCTATATATGCCGCTTCGATTCTTGTTTATGTCGCTTTGTATACTTCGCAAGTCATCTCCACACGGACTCACCGTAGGCCACTCTTCAACTCTGGTGCGCAGCCCACAGCAGCGGGCGCAGGGCTTGCGCCCGGAGATGCACAGTAGCCTCACACAAATAATATCCGGCGTCAGCGCCGGCGGCAGGGTTGCTGCAGCTGGTCGCACCGTGCGCGGCTTCGTCGCAAGTCGGCGCAGCCGGAGCGGCGTCACAGACGCATCGGTCTGGAGGCCGTTGCTATTATCAGGTGGGTGAATGGGACGCCTTGGACGTGCTGCTTGCTCTTGTGTGACGGCGCACTATGGCACCATTCAACGTCTGCAGCTCAAGCCACCCATCCCATGTGATCCCTGCAGGTGCCCACGTCCACCCGAGCTTTGGAACCACCGCCCACGCCGCAAGTGCCAGCGACAGCGCCGGCGGCGGCGGTGGCGGCCCCAGAAGTAGCAACAGCGCCCGCAACGGCGGCGCGGGCGCCGGCGGCAACGGCGCGGGCGGGCTGGCAGCGGCGCCCGTCCAGCAGCAGTTTGTCGTCGCCCGCGACGGGCGTGTGGGCGGGCCCCTGCCCTCTGTGGACATGCCGCTGAACCAGTTTGAGGTCTCCCTGGAGGAGGTGCTGCACCACCGCTACCTCACACTCTACAACCGCAGGGTCAAGTTCACCTCGCCCGGCCGCGACCCCTCACACGTGAGCCACACAGGAGCCTCTGCAGTCCTGCAGCACCCAGTTTGCCGCGGCTGAGCGGGCGGCGGCAGCAGCGCCGGGGCGGCGGCAGCACTGGGGCGGCGGGAGCGCAGCAGCATGCGCGCTCGCGCGGCACCGGCGCACGCACGACTCCGTGCCAGCAGACGCCCACGCCCTGCCGCGCACTTGCCTCGTGTGCTTCAGGTTCAAGGCTCGCCCTGCTCGCCTACTTTCCCACTCCCTGCGCTCCCTTGCCCCGTCTTCCCGCCTGTGACCCCTCCTTGTGCCCCCCGTCTGCCCCGCTGCACAACCTGCGTTATCACAAGGCGCATGAGTTGAATTTTGACGTGGTGGGTCACCCCCAGGCCAACTACAGCTTTGCGGTGACCTTCCCCTTCCACCCGCATACCGACGGCCGCAAGGGCGGTGACGTCACAGTGATACGGGAGTACGCGCAGGTGGGGGGGGCGGGGCGTGGACATGTACTCGGCGGCACGTGCATGTGGGATCCAGGCATCCTTTTTGGGGCAAGAAAGTGGGAGTGGTGGTGCTTGCACTCGCGTCAGCGCGCGTGCGCTGCTGCGCATGCGTGCTTTTGTGCACGCCCATGCATGCACAAGCTTCATGTGCCGTGCGCGCGCAGGGGCGTGTTCTTCTGCGCGCGCAAGGGGTCCTCCAGAACGACCCCATGCGCACCACAAGCAATTCAGGGGCGACCCAGGAGGCACCCCGCCGCCTGCTGCCCTCTGCACAGAACGCCCCTTGCCCTCTGCACAGAACGCCCCTTGCACACCACTGTCCGCCCACACCCCTCCCCTTCCGCGGCCGCCATCCACTCCAGGGGCCCAACGCCCTCATGTACTGCCTGCCCACCGGCGGCTTCAGCCCCTCAAAGCACGCCGACCTGCAGGAGTGCGCCAGGGCTGAGCTGTCAGAGGAGGTGCGGCGGCACGCGGAAACGCACTGCGGGCGGCGCCGTTCTCGCACGCAGCGCGGCGGGAAGCATGGCCTGGGGGCCCGCTGCTGCCAGGTCTTGCATGGGGGTGCACGCAGGCCTCTTGGGCAGAGTTTATAGCCTGCTTGGTTTTTAGCCGCCAACGCCCTGCTAAGTGCGCTCCAGCAGCCGCCACTGCCACCCCCCGGCCCTTCCCATTAGCCCTGGCACGCACTCGCTTACGCCCGCCGGCGCGCCACCGTCGCACCGCCCCTGCACCCTAGGCGTGGCTCACCGGCGGCCGCTGGGTGCCGCTGCTGCCGCCGCAGCACCCCGGCCTGGCGGAGGTCAAGTGGTGCATGAACCGGTTCCAGCCCTTCCTGGTCATTGACCCCCAGCCTGACGACAACCCGGGCAGCAGGGACCTGGAGGAAATTACGATGGAGGTGAACGGCTGGGGTGGGGCCGTGGTGGGGGTGGTGGGGGCTGTGGTGGTGAGGCCACGCGGGGTTCTTGGCTGTAGGCCTGCAGCTCGCCTTGGGAGCGCGTGGGAGCGCCCTGTCAAGGGTCGCAGGAGAGGCGGGATGCGGCTTCACGCGCCTCAACGTGCGGCCTCGTTCCAAGCCAGCCGCCAGCCCAGGGCACCCGCGTGGCACCCCAGGGCACCCGGCGCCCTCAGGCCTGTCCTCACC